GAAAGAACCAACTTTTATGAAAGAACTATCTTTTGTGAAACCTTGTTATATATATATATATGTATATGAGACATTCGACATGATAACAAAAAAAATAATCCGGGAGTTCACATTGTAGACAAATGTTCAATTGTTTGCGATTGTGTGTTGAAATCGTTCGGATACAAGTCATGGGACAAACGTTCATGAAACATTGACTGTGTTGCAAAGGCTTGTGAAGGCTGGATACCTCGTTCAATCCCAGCCCATGGGCAAGCTGTCAGCATGCAGCTTGATTGCTTGCCAAGTTGCTCAAGGGCATGAGCCCCAGAACAATGCGAAGCAAAGGCGTTAACGACAGCCTTGTTTTGCGAGGCACATCGAGCACGTGACGAAACCTGGCTAAGCCTTTTCGCATGCAGTGAACATGCTCAGCATGTAGCTCATAGAAGGAGCTCCACATATGCATGCACTTAGCACAAGGGGGACCTGCTCCTGAGTTCAAACAGAAATTTAGCTCTAGCGTAACTGACTGCTTTTGCTTTTGGAGACCGACCTGTCCCAACTGGCTGGTAAATGAAATCTCGGTTGAGAAAGACTCAGGAGTAATGAATACAATTGAAGACCAATGGAGTGACAGGCCTCTGTGGAGCAGTTTCGGTGGGCCTAGGAAGGGGAAGGTGCATGGTGTTCTGTTCTTGTTTGTTTTGGGTGGGACATATGTTTTCTCTCCTCCAAAGGAAATACGTCAGCTCCGCTCATTCTAGATGATCGGCATCTAACTGCTCGTGTCTTGGTGATTTAAGATGCCTGCAGCCTTGCCCAATCCGAGCCGCAGAACCAAGCAAACGCCAGATGTGGCCTCTAGCTCTTCGCAGCGGTGGCCGTTCATCCGGGACGGGTGACACGCAATCACCAAAACGTGCCATGCTCTGAACATACTCACTGATACTTGGGTAGGACCGAACACTGATACTTTGGGGTACAGTAGGTTCGAACCATTGTAACAGTGGATGATGATGGTTCAAAGGGTACCAGGATATTACTACTTTATTGACTGTACAACGTTTCGGAAGAGGACATATTATGTAGCACGCCTAGTGCGTGGATTCTCTCTGGGTGAGAATGAACGCTCTGTTGCTGGTTTCCCGGCTGACCAAACAGCTTCTCAGCACATCTCATCACAGCTGCTGCCGAAGTCACGGAAATGGCCAAGGCCTGCTGGGTGGAAAACAAGCGTGGCCCCACCAAGCTGTAAGCGATGTAGACATTTGGACCCACAGATGGAACCTCAGTCATGATGTGGCCATCTTAGAAGTCCCCTCTCAGTAGGCTTGTATATATGCAATTATATACATAGTAGAAAGTTAGAGGATTGAACTTGGAGCTGTTTGACCCATACTGACATGATGCCAAGTGTTTCTTCCTGGGGCCCTGGGAAGTACCGTCTCCTATTGATGGCCTCACGTATTCTGGCCTCAATGGATTCTTTTCCTTTTCTCCTCGAAACACAGTTAAATTATATCGGTGTTCGGTCGTGATGTGTATGGCCGTGGTGGCTATCTGTAGCAATTCTCTTAGGAAGCAGGCATCTAGGAATGGAGGATGTCAACAATACGCCCCGGAATGTATTCAGGGTTCCTCATGTGACCAAACATCGCCACTTGTCCATATTAAACAATCCGAACATATCAAAAGCGCAATACATCTACTATATATAGTATATATAGTTATATAATATATTAAAATATTCAACTCCTCTACCACCTGTGCCAACTCTGACCGACAGACGAAGCGAAGGAGAGAACCCTCTGCAGTAGACGATGAAACTGGCAGGCCATCCGTGATATGCCGTCACCCACGCCCCTTCAACCTTCGTGTCAAAATGAATCGAGTGCCATGATTACAAGTAGAGCAAGGCCATTCTCCACATTTGTTGGACACACCAGAACCAACAGGGCCATTTTGATGGGAGTGATTTGTACTTCTTCAACTTCAGTGCTTCTGAGATTCGTATGGTCGAAGTGAGCCTAGGGCCTGGGGCCTACGCATGTTGCCTGGTACCCAGGTGGTCAACGATGCTCGGCGCTCCCTGAGCGGCTTATGCAGCTCTGTCTGCAACTGCGAAACCAATCCCAACGGGAGGTTGCTCAGCATGCCGCACCTTGCAATCGGTTGGCAGTTTCAAAGTAAACACGGTTCAGTCTTCGTCCGAGTCGCCGGAAGAGTGGCTTTTGCAAAAATAGCTACAGGACAAGGCATGTAACATGCACCATCGTTGAGAAGGCTAAACTATGAAAAGCACCAAATATAATATACATACATATTCATTACATATAACTATGTATATACTGAATGAATATAAAATATATATATATAGTATTATATATACACACTGCTGTTCTAGCTTCTAGCAACACCCAGAAAGCATTCGCCAAGGCCAAAATCCGTGTGTTTATGTGTGTGTGTGTGTGTGCGTGGCAAAGTTTTGCTCCCGAAAACGGCGGGAACGTCCGAGGCGCAAGATACAGGTGACGCCCGCAGCAAAGGCGCCACTCACCAAGGAGGTCTCAGGGTGGAGGCCTCGTGATAGCGAGACTCTGCTGACTGCGCCCCCTCAACACTGATCAATAAACACTTGCTCACTTGAAGAGGAGGGTCTCGATGGCAGAATACCTTCTGGATTTTTAGACGGGCACCCGTTCAACTAAGGCAGAAAGGGCTTAAAAGCTGAGTATGTGAAATGATATGTAAAATGCAATGAAGGCAAGGCAGGAAGACTTCTACCGAGGCCAATGATGAATTTCTCGGATCAAAATATAATATACAATATATACAGCAGTGTACCTGGACCCCGCTCAACTGTTTGTCGTCTAGAAAATGATACCTCCCTACACTCTTTACCCCAAACTGAGGCCTGCATGGGACATAATGTGTGCATTCACCACGAAGTTGTTGGCAGTCGCCAAGAATGCAGTGGTTCCTGTGACGAACGCAGCATGAGGGAGTCGCTGGCGGCGCTAGAGGCCCGTCGTATTCTAGGGCTGGGTGTGGGCGTACCCCAGGTGTCAACCATTATATATTGCGCAGGCTAAAGACAAGGCCATACTCAGCCTTATACACATGTGTTTTTTGTCTAAGATATCTCGAGAAATACTCTGTAGCGCACTCTTGCCCCTGGTTGAGCCACAAACATTGAGGCCCTTGGAAAACACATGACTCACCCTATAAAACTCAAAGATTGGGGGGGTTCCAGTTTTCCATCTGCACTGTAGATGTGTATATGTAGATTGCAGCATTGGGATGCCTTGGGCACTTGCCGTATATATTTATCCGAAGATTTCCTGCAGCCAGGGTCGCAGCTAGTACCGCACCATGCCCTTTCTGCTGAAGATGCAAGCTGCAAATGGAACCCCCTGTTTGCAAAAGAAATGTCCTCTTCCATGTTTTGCGTGTGGCAAAGTATATAGTCCTTCACGGCCACCATGTTTGTTTTGTGTTCTGCACTGCATTGCTGTATATAATTTTGAGGAAGCGAGATCTTCGCTTGACCCATCTGGATCCTTCCAGAGTTCGATCTTCTGACCTTCCCTCCCCCATCTTCCGCCTGCCCGCAGCTCCGTGGCGATCGTGGAGCCACGCAATGAGATGCTGAAGTAGCGATCGATCGCCTTAGTTCAGCGGAAAAGGCCAGGTGAGAGCCTTTGGCTGCATGGCCCATGAAGATCCGGTCTAGTTCTAGTAGTAGTAGTAGTAGTAGTAGTAGTAGTAGTAGTAGTAGTAGAAGTAAGATGTAGTAAGTAGTAAGTAGTAAGCAGTAAGTAGCTAGTAGTTAGTAGTTAGTAGTTAGTAGCAAGTAGTAAGTAGTAAGTAGTAAGAAGTTAGTAGTAAGTAGTAAGTAGATGTAAGTAGCAAGTAGTAAGTAGTATATAAGTAGTAAGTAGATGCAAGTAGCAAGTAGTAAGTAGTAAGTAGTAGTATGTAGTATGTAGTAGTAAGTAGTAAGTAGTAGTAAGTAGTAGTTAGTAGTAGTTAGTAGAGGTAGGTAGAGGTAGGTAGAGGTAGGTAGAGGTAGGTAGAGGTAGGTAGGTAGAGGTAGGTATAGGTAGAGGTAGGTAGGTAGAGGTAGGTAAGTAGAGGTAGGTAGGTAGGTAGAGGTAGGTAGGTAGAGGTAGGTAGGTAGAGGTA